TAAATCACACAGATTGCCAAATTAGAGAAGTTGATGTTATTCCCACACTGTTTGCATTTGATTACTGCAGCACTTTAAGACATGGAAATCTCATGAAAGCTGTAAAAAACGAAATTTTGTTTTATATACACAGAGTGTACACAAAACGTATACAAAATTTGTATACTAAATGACAATAAAAGTTGTCTAAATCTGAGTAATTACCAAAGACTTATTGACACGTGGTTGGGTTAGGGTGAACCAAGCTACCCAATCGAAAGTCTAAACATGGATTCATTCTTTTTATTGATAATTTAACTTTATTGATCTCAAATTGGAGAAATTTACCTCTGCATTAACCCATCCCCTCCAGGAGCAGTGGGCTGCCATCGTGGGGCGCCTGGGGAGCAGTGTGAGGTTAAGGGTCTTTGCTCAGGGACCCAGAGTGGCAGCCTGTGGGAGTGGGGCTCAAACTAGGCCACCGTTCCCCTTTACAGGTCATGGTAGAGGAGTACCGGTAACTTTCTGAGCTGTGTCTGCATCCTTTCTTATTGATTTCTTTGAAAGACCAGCAGGATCAGGCTCACTCTGAAGCATCATATTGGTAAATTTCCACTGAACCAAAGCCCTGCTACCACTAATCTGCTTGGCCTGAATATGTCTGCAATGCAGGCCACTGGGCTTCTGTGGTGGTCACAGAAAGGCTCAACCCAGATGAAAAGAAAAAAAAGTGAAAATACTGTGCACGTGTCCATTATAATCAACAGTAGAAACTAATCATCCCCACTGATAAGAAACCATCTTAGTTGACACGATCAGCAAGTTCCAATCAAACATCAAACTCTTTAAGTGATACTATTATTTGTCTTTCCTAGCCCCTTTTCTTAAACTAATCAGGTCGAGATAAGCTCCTGCTGCTTATTTTCAATGGAAAATGTAATCATTTTTGATTAATATAATTTGTTATATTTCTAGAGCTACATACAGCTTCATCTTGACATGTAGTCCATGTAGGTCTTTTTTCTTCCATGTTAGAGAGTTTTTAGATTTAGGAGGCTTGATAATTTATACACTTCTCTTTATTCAATTACATATTTAAAGAATAACAAAATCTGTAAATCATCATAGATAAAAGGAAGCACAAAATAAAACTTCAGAAAACTACCTATCGAAAAAACAAAATTAGATGTGTTAATTTCTTAATCAATTAATCCAATCAAACATTATTTATTTTGTAATAGAAAAAATAAGTATTGTCAGAAAGACAATAGTTTATTAGCTGTTTCTGTTTTCTTCATAATAATTCTTAAACTAGGGCTTCCTCAAGGGTCAGTACTTCGACTCGCTATGTTCCAATGTAAATAATGTTCAGTTTTACTAATCTAAAAAGGCCAATAGCTATTCTTCTCGGTTAAAGACATATGTTATATAATACATTCTAAACTTCTCTTATAGATTAGTTGTTGCTAAACTTTTAATATCACTCTTATACAAAATCTCAACAGTCTCAAATAACTCTAAACTTTGCAATACTTTATATACTTTCTCTGGCACAAGTGCTTTACATTAGAAAAATAATGTTTGTGTTTAGAAAAAAACGCCGCAATTTATAGAAAACAAAATGCTAGATAATCTAAGTTAAGGTCGTTCTCTTACTGTGTTTCAACTGTTTCTCATAAATTAACCATAGAATGTTTCTTATTTGACATTACCGTCTCATCATCACAACTGAACCTCTATGGTGGCAAGATGTCAGATCAGTAACGGTGAATTTCTTACTATAGTCATCATCGGTACACTAAACAATAATGAGTACCGGTAGTAGATCTGAACTAAGCTGTGGTATTATTCGCTGAAAATATCCTTTAGTGAGGTATACACAGATTCAAGTATATGGGATTTATTAACAAGGGTAGTGAATACAGCAGTCTGTTAGTGTCAACAATAACCAAACAAAGGCCATCTGGACAGCTTGCCAATGAGGAAAATAACCTCTCGCTGTTGATTCTTAATTGTATACACTGTTCAAACAAAGCATCGTTATCAGTTAGACACGTAGTGTGTCTTTAATTATGGTGGCCACTGGTGTTAAATCTGAACTCAACTCAATAAAAGTGTTTAATCCCTTGGAGGTTTCTATGGTCTATCAAAGAATCATTACAGAAATATTTATTACCAGTCTTAACGGCCATGTTCTTGTCATAGGGTCTACTGACACTCGACCACATGCTCTCTATCCTCTTCCATGCATCTCTCTTGTATATTGGTTTAGGGGGAAATCAAATCCTCGTATTTGCACACCTAAACATTTTTTTCTCTAATATGGGAATTAAATTGGATTAGGATATTGAAGCAAACCCATATGAGGTCCATCTGTTTGAACTTATTCATGAAAGCTTTATAAAAACTTGCTTATTTTTGGAACAGCAGACTTTCTAAGGACATTTCATTTGTTTCTAATTTCACTGCAGATTTCATTCCTGTGTTGGTCAATAATTGGCGTGCAAAATAACTAAAATAATTCTGATCTCTTGACTTATTTCTTGGAATTGCCTAAGCATACTTTCTTTTTTCTCCAATGTTAGCCTAAACAGAGGGAATGTATTAAGGCAGATTGAGGGCTGATAATGAGGTAGATGAAGAATTTCACAACTCCTCCTGCTTGTATTTTCCATTAAGCACCAAACCTGCTGAGGCTGCATTGGGACTATATTAACAGAAGCGGGGATAGACTTTTTTTTTCTTTGAAAGCATAATGTTATGAACGGATTCAAGTAGTGGAATTACCTTTGTGTAAAACTAGTTTCCCATTACAATTTGGGTCATAACCCTACCCTGGAGCAACAATGTACATAAGGAAGAAATACCTCTAAAGAATGAAACCTCTTTAACAGGATGATTCAGAAGGTGTTTGCCCAACAGTACGTCATTACAATGAAATTCATACTGATATCCTGTTTACTGTTAAATTGAAAAACATCCTTCCATGAATGACCAAAGGTGCCTTCTTCAGAAGTTTCTTACTGTGCCTTTAAAATGTCTTCCTTGTATTTATTATGTCATAAACATTGCATTATCAGTTGTGTGTAAATAACTCCTATATATATGCTAATCAGTTTGACAATGATAACATACCAGGATTATTTTGTATAAGAAAATAATCGATAGGAGATAGTTGGAGCGCTTTTGATTCTTGATTGTATTTGCTGTTCCTCTGTGCCCAAATTGGCTTAACATTCTGTTCTTTTACATTACACCTCTATAACGCCATTCATTAAGTCAATGAATCCTTTCTGTGGTCTTCTTTCCTTCACTCTAACTGTCAGCTCCACATTCATATCTTCCTCCGTTTGCGTCCAAAACCATCTGTTGCCCACATTAAACTGCCCCCCCTCATACTTTTTCAATGTCATGTCCTCCAAAACAATTTCTTAGCAGTTTTCACTTTCATATTCCAAACAGTTAATCTGAATATGTGTGTATTTTGTACATTTTTATTAACATCTTTAATGTCTGTTTTACTAGCCATAAATTAACCTGTTGCTGCTTCAGGGATAACATTGGACATAGTTGAAGGAACTTAGGAAGAAGCCTTAGTAAACTATTGAACCTTAAGCTCTTGGAATACTCTAGGTGATAGTCAGTAATGGTATGGCTGCACTTAACTATAGATATATAATATTTTATGCTGATATTTCTTTAACTGAAACCTTTAATCTATTGGAGTTCTACAGTCTCTCACAGAACTATATAGAAATATTGCTTGCACTCACACAGCCACATTCTTGTCATAAAGATCCACTGACTCTTATCCACATGCTTCCACATGCTTCTCTCTTGTCTCTTGGTTTAGGGGGAAATCCAATCTGCATCCTCATATTTGCACAACTTCAGGTTATGTTTTCTTCTTCTAAAATGAATGTTTGAGACTTAAATCTGATTATGAAATTTAAATTAAAGTCCTCAGGATGTCCTTTTCCCTATCTCCCTGAACTTATTTGTGACAGCTTCATAAAAAGTCGATTTTTTTTGTAGTTATTTGTGTCTGGGTCAGTTTGTACCTATAGTTTTACAACTATTTCCATTTAATGCCAGCCTACTTCCATTAAACCGTTGTGATTAAACTATTTCATACCTATGTATTTAACTATTGTATATACATTTAGTCATACTTTAACTAAAAGATAAGGATTTTGATGAAAGAATTTAAAAAGTAAATTACATCATACTCTAACATTTTATTCTTATTAACTGCAGTTTAGGTTGTGCCAATAACTCAAAATATTTCAAATAATTTGTATTATATCCTGAAATCCCTTAAACACGCCATTATTTTCTCTCATCTTAGTCTGTAAGTAGATTATCTTAAACTTGCACTAAATAATTTACAGTTAAAGAGAATATGAAACAAAACCCCAACAACTCCTCCTGCTCGAACTTGCTAGTAAGCACAAAACCTGCCGGTCTGCTCATTCAGGGAAGCAGGGATAGACTCATTTTTTCCCTTAAAATCATCCTGTTCCAGAGACACTTTTATTAAAGCACAGCGGTTGGTTGGCTGATAGTCAGTACAATGAAATAGCGAAATAGAAAACAATCGTTCCCTCATAGTTTCCCATTGTTATTCAAAATGTCTTCCTCATATATTTGATAATTATGGTTGTATAATTAGTTTTGTGCAATTATGTAATTATCTATCTTTTTGCTGCCCATTTGAAAGCCTTTAATGCTAAATATGACTAGGAAACTTTTCTATATTTACAAACTATTCTGTTAATAGAACAAGTCTGGATTCTTCTGTGTTTAAAAAATAACAGATAGGAAATTTGGAACACGTGCTGCTATTAATAATACTATTTTAGATCACATGGAGGCACAACAATGCAGAGCATGCAGGAGGAAGCCTGCAGGTCTGCAGCTGATGAGGAAAGCTGAGCAGAGGGAGGGAGAGAAAGAGGCGTTCCCGTCCAGCATGCTCCAGGGATTACTGAAGCCTATTTAAAGTTCAGCGCCACGGAAGTTTCCCCCCCATAAGAGGACAGGAGGCAGATCTCAGGACGTGCAGGACGAGGCAGAGCTGCTGGGACCACTGAAGGAAAGGGTTTAAATTAGGCTGAGCTGCGACAGTGACGTCAGAGGAGCGCTGAAAAAGACTTTTCAGCTGGAAAAGAACAAAAAATACTAATTTGTTTCTCAGCAACGCTTAATAAACCAGGTAGGAAAACAACTTGCTTGGATTCTCTTTTAGTAAATAGTTTAGCACCACTTTCCCCATTTAAAATACTTTTAAATAGTAGAAATTAATATTGCTTTGAAGTTTAAAGTGTAAAATGAAAAAATAACATTAATTGTTGGTTATTTAAAAAAAAAGGAGGTGTGTCAGTGGGAGGTTCCTATTTTTGAAAATGTAACATTTTCAACCTTTTTAATGAAAACTGTGTGTCAAGCTTTATTATTTCCACTTGAATGGGTCACTCATTGTTCCAGTTAACTGTCAGCAGGCAGTGCTGACCTTATTTTATGGATGTTTAGTCGTGTACTGTCAGGTTTAAGCAGCACCTCTCTCTTAAATAAGCAAAATAGAAATGCTCGCCCTTCCTGGGAGCTCATCCTGTAAACACAGACTTGTATTTTACTGTTTATTCATGCAACAGAAGAGATCAGTGAAAGAAACTGCTGCACTTCCTAACCTAGAAGCTCCCATGAGCAAAGAATAACCTCCAAAGATCCACACAAATGCAGCATTAGATAGGAGAGTTTGGTTTTAATGATGGATAAAATGCTTAAAATGGATATTCCTGATGAAAATTTAGAAAATGTATTGAAGTTGTTGAAATGTTTGTAGGGTGGCCTAGAAATTAGGGCATAGAGCTTGGAATCTTGAAGCTTGGAGGTTGTGAGTTCAAAACTCACTCCCACAGAATGCCTCTCTGGCTAAATAAGCTAGACCCTTAACCCCCGATTGCTCCCCAGGATGGCAGCCCACTGCTCCCCAAGAGGATGGGTTAAATGCCTCTAATGTGAGATCAATAAAGTTCAATTATTTTAGTAATTTTTAGAAATGAGAGGTAGGGACAGTAGAAGAGGGAAGGTGTGAAATTCTCCTTTGGTTATATTTGGTTCATCTGTTATATATTAAAGACTGTTTAATTATAATATAATTGATATATTTATATTTTTAACTGCTATTTGACTTACCTTTGGGGCCAGAATATTTCCCCTAAATGTTATTATATATTGGAAACCAGGACAGTTGGTCTGAGTCATAAGTAAATGAAGGGGCTGCTTAGGGCTTCCAGACCAGCAGGGGGCTCCAAAACGTGCTTAAAGTCCCATATTTAGTTAACTTTCAAATTTGAAAAAGGATCTCATACCCGAGTACAGCACATTCGGGTTACAAGTTGTGGTTTAAATGTTTACTCTTTGCAATACAGACTTATAATCGTACTTTTTATGTATATCTTATGCCCTAAAACATTAAAAGAACATGTTTACACATAGATGATAGAAGACTATGTGCGACACTTATTTAATGTGATTTAATGAAGGCTGTCTGTACATATCTGACCTGTGCTCCCAGTAGTGCTCCATTTCATTTAACTTGAAGCTAGAAAAACCCAGTGCTTTTGCCATAAAGCTTTACATGTTTAGTAAGATAATCAGGATCTAGCCTGCTTTTAAGGTTTACTCACCTCATACAGTTTACTTATCAAAATTTAAAAAAAGTTTAATTTAAATACATTTTTAACTTCTGTAAGGTTTTAAAACTTGGTATACATCAGAGTTATTTTAAACTGTACATATTCTATTGTGTAATAGGGATACTAATACTAATTAATTCCATGAGTGGTAGTAAAATAATTGATGTTACTTGTGCCTGGGGTAAACTCTCATGGTTACCTGCAGTGGTGGTTTTGTTATTTGCTGTAGGTTTTGTGCAGTTGGCCAGACCGGCATTGAAGGTGGCCACACAAGCAGCAGATAAAAAAAATGTAAAAAGAAAAACTTATCTGTTGTGCCCTGAGCAATTTTTCCATAGCTTTATGCAAATGGATCCAGTGTGAATTTTAAACACACGTGTGTTAGTCGTCCCCTGCTTGTCGCTGAGGAAGATGAGCTTATATGCTTTCCGTGCATTTTATCCTTCCACAGAATCGTATCTTCACATTAATGGCTGCAGAACAAGGGGTTTATTCAGGGCATTTTGTTCTTAAAACCAGTTGCTCTTTAATCATTTGAATTTAAAGCGAATTTAATAAATTCTCTTTAAAGGAAAAAAGCTTTAATGCTAAAGCTTGGGCACTCCATGGTTGCACATGGCAACCATGGAGTGGCTCTGCTATTGTGTATAGTTAAAAACAAGTTAAAAAAATGGGCTATATATGTACTAGATTGTAGAACATATATTTAATGAAATAAAGATTAAATATCTCAAATTTGTAATTAGGGACATTGCTTCAGCATAAATAATGCTAAAATGGAGCTATGGCTATCAGCATTTTTTTTAACTTGCTGTAGGTTCTGTTTAAAAGCACTGTTATCTTTGTTGACTTAAGATATAGCCTGTAAAAAAAAAAAAAAAAAAAGGCTTGTTATTGGAATCTTTTTATTTTTTTATTTACCTGACCTGATGCTAGTCAGACACTTAGCTTTTCCAAATCATAACATCATAACATCTACAAGTTATCACTTTATCAGACTTTGTTACTTTTAGTATCAATGTGGTCTTTAAAATTATAACCAGTGTCAGGAAACGGTCTTTCGCATCATTCGTGTTGTTTGTTAAAGCTGCAAAAGAGTGAGCGAGAGCAACACTTTCAGCAGATAACAGAAAGGCTGAATATACAACAGAAAATTTGGTTTAGTGTTATAAATTTTGAACACTCATTATCTCTTGTGCAATATTTTGGATTTGGGTAAAGTTTAAATTATTCAGGGATACACAGGAGCAGTAATATTACCCTGTTATGACTAAGTCTGTTTGTAATAGACATTAAAACTCATCCTCTCTTTTTAACCTTGCGCACATGCCAATGTTTTTTTTAGTTAAAATGGAAACCATGGGATGTGTTTTATATGAAAACATTAAAAAGGGTTTTCAAAGACAGGGAGAACTAAAAAAACGACCTGCTATGCGACGTTGGGTACACAGGCAAAAGGTATTGTGCCTTTATGTAGTATGAAATTCCTGATTGCAGTATAAAGGATGCAAACAGTTTAAAATAAAAATTTTATTTAAATTATTTAAAGTCGCAAGAAGCTAAAGTGAATCCTCATCTGTTCATTGGTGTCTCTTCTACACAAAAAGTTTATACAGTGGTGGCTCTTCTGAAGCAGTGAGTATTTGCAGACATTTCAAAGAACATACTTGTGACTTGTTGAGGATATTACATTAATTTAAGATCTTCTATAAGTGTGTTTTGCACAGAGAGCACAGTTTAAAGGTTTTCATGAAGATGTTTTGAAGAGAAGCTGCAGTTTAAATGGATCATGGTTGTGTATAAACAACCTTACTTTTATTGTATGAGTCAGCTTTAAACAGACCCACCCTTTGGTATCAGAGGACATGCACTGAGAGTAAAACAGTTTAGAGGAAACGGTAACTGAATTTGAAGAGTAACAGTTGTAGACAGGTTGAACAGAGAGGGTTTGACGAGCTCCGCTTATTATGTCTTTAGACGTGCACAAACATGTTATTAGAATCATGAGAACCTGTAACACCACACTGGCACAGATTATAATCAAACCTCCTGCCCGTTTCCCTGGAAAGGCAGCAGAATTTCCTTCTCAGTCAGCCAGCAGCTGCAAACAGATCATCTAAAACCACATTTAGAGGTCTAAGAATGTCATATTCTCTATTTTAATCCTTCCTATTGTCTTGCTGCTGTCTGTTTTGGCTTTTTTTTTTTTTTGACAACTTTTCTTTTTTCCCATTGCCTTCTTTGGTCAGCGAGTGTATGTTTACCATCTGACGATGTTTTTCCCCTCCAAAAATCCCAGTCCGTTGTGTACTGCCAGGCCCCCACAGCCAGTCCTGATCTCTGCCCAAAATTCCTCACCACTGGCCAGGGCCTTAATGAGCTCTGTGCTTGTGTGCAGAGAAATACATACTCTGTATTACCCCTGCTTTTTTTCCCCCAATTAAAAAAAAAAAAAATAGCACAGCACAGTCCACAGCCCTCCATGTTGCAATCACGTTTTAGTGTTTGTCATTAGATATCCAAATCTTCCCTCTGCGAACAATGGGGCTCAGGGGATTAACACACTTTAAGGTTTTCTCACAGAACAGGACATGGGTGGTGTTATATTTCAGTGAGCTTTTCAGTTAAATCCAGATCCGATGATAAAAGCATTTTAACTCAAAATGAGTTTTAAGAAGTCGGTCAAGCTTAAGACTACACATCCCTGTAGAAGCTTGGTGTATAGCTTTACTGTTCTTTGTAAATTATCTTTGGAAATAGAGTCATGAAAGTCTCCCTTCTTGTCCTCATGAGAGAGAGCAGGCTTCAAATCATTTGTTTCTCATTTGCATCTGCCTGTTTTCTCAAGTTTGCTCTCTTATAGTTTCTTTTTTTTTAGCTCACTGAACATTTAGTGTCTCGAGTTAAAAAAGGAGTAGGCTTGTGAGCGAAGGGTTTAACAACAAGTCTTGGAAATGTGAAACTTCTCATTTTTATTTTTATTTAAGGATCTGCATCCTTTTTTAATCAGCTGTTTTTCATGAGAACGCAATAATAATATATTGACTTTGCAAGGTTTTCACACATTAACTTGTTAGAAATTGAACTATGGCTGAAACAATAAATCGTGATTAATCGATTATTGAAATAATCGTCAACTAATCTAGTAATCGATTAATCATTAACTGGAGTATAGAGACCCTAAAACGTACCTTTAACTGACAGAGCAACCCACTTGGAGTAGTAAATATAACAAGATTGTAAAAAAATAGGTAAAAATTTTGCATTTCAGATAAAAAAAAAATATCTGTCAATGCTCTAAACAAGATCCTTTAGTGAAAAAGTTTTGGTTTCATCTTGTTTAACTTCGTAAAAAGTATTTATTAAGTGACCTTTGGCTATCCGATTTTCTATTCTATTCTGTTTTATTCTTTTCTATTCTATTCTAATGATCTTTGACATCTTTGGGGCCAGTTGGCTCGAAAATCCTTGCGTATCCTCCAAATCATTGTAGCTAAGGTGGCCCAAAGATGTTAAGATTAAAGCTAAATGTGTGCTGACTTCATGCACAGCTACAGATACACTTCTGTCACTTTCTGTATCTGTGTGCAGAAATATGGGAAACCCTTATGTCACAGTGATCTTGCATAGCACCAAATGCTTGCTTGACTGCAAACGGCTACCTCCTGACCATCTCTGTATGTCTCATGTGATTTAGTTCCTTCATTTTTTGTTTTCCTATGATGAAAAGGAACCAAGCTCTAACTTTTGGTCAAGTTTTGAAAGCTAGCTTCAAATAAGTGTTTTAAACATTGCTGACAAGGTAGTAGGCAGGGCATCTTTTATGATACTATTAATAAATATCACAAACACCCCCGCATCAATCATTGTATATGCTAATATGTGATATGAGCTTCTAAAATAATAAACCTAAAAGGATTTTAATTATGATTAATTGGAAAATGCCAAGTCATTATAAGTTTATTACCTAATTATATCTGGCAGAAATGGTCCTTTTGTCTATCAGGTACGGCCCAATGAGATCTGTGGCTATTTATTGCCATGCAACAGTTGAATGTCATTTACCAAAGGAGAACTGACAAGTCTGTGACAATCCCCTTTTGTCTCTGCAGACTATGAAAGGAAACTATAACCCATCTCCTCCCTGCGCTCCATTTGTAATGACCCATTTTTTAACCTAATTAGGCTAAAATAAAAAGTCACTTTGTGTCTCAAAGCGCAGGGCGCTCCGCTGTAAGCTTGACCACATTGTCTTTAGTCAGATGAATGATGGAGGGTTTGACTCAATTGTACTAAAAAAAAAGGTTCTCTCTGGATGTGATGAAGAAATTGAGTCGATAATTTTTTCTCCTGTAGATAAGTCTGCCAGTGTTCAGTTGGGATGTTTTTACATCGCGTCAACTCTGTAATCCAAGGCTGACTGTCACTGGGCAGTTGATCCGTTCCTTGAAGTGCATTAGTGCGCTGACGTCCCTTCACCTGGATTAGAGAGCAGGCGGGATGAGAGTGGTGATGGCAACAGCAAACGCTGACTGACTGGCTGGTTGCTGGGCCACGCAGCCATTCACAGATACTGTCAGCTCACATTAAGCTATCGGGGCTTTGAAGTGCAGCATCATAATCCCCTTAAACGGTGACCAGGTGACGAGACGAGGAACTGTGAATAAAGCTGCAGGCAGATAAGAGCTGCATTGATAAGAGCTGGATAGGAAGAGAAAGTCACTGTTGTGTGCTTTTAAACTCATCCACGTTCATTCTCTGTCCTCAGATTGCTCCACCATGGGTGTGAAGATGCTGCAGTGTTTTCCTTTTTACAGGCGCTGCAAAGAGCGCTGCAAGAGCAGGGAGGCCCCCCCACCAGCAGGTGAGCAAACAGTTTATCGTAGGCTACTTTTAAGAGAAAATTTAAATTCGTCAGACTTTCTCAGCTTTTTTACAAACTTCTTTATTTGGATTGTATGTGATAGATCATTACAAAGTTAGGAGAAGTAAACATTAGTCTGATAAGCAGCCAAGCTGTTCTTAGAGCAACACTCTGTGTTGGGGAGTGATATATTATATATATATATATATATATATATAAACCTGGAAAAATACTTGAGGGTGTGGTAGTGATTCACCTTCTGATATCATAAGCAACAATTGACCAGGTCAGAAGCATCATTAGACCAATCAAAATCCAGCCCTCAGCCGTTATGAAAATATTTAAAAACTTTATAGTTCGACTGACGTTGAACTATTTTGAAAAAAGGGCAAATGTCAGTTTTCATACATAGTAAGTATAAATGAATTAAACTGGTTTTAAATTAATCATTAAAACCTTTCCGCTACACAGTATTTCCTTGGATTTTCCTCATAAAATCCCAACAATAAACATAGACTTTCACAAGGCAACATTTAATTAGTTAATTAATTAGTTATGAGGGTAAAGTCGGACGTAGGTTGACTCTGTCTTTTATTCCCATAGTTCCCACAGAGGAAACTAAGCCTCGTTTGTCCTCCACGACGTCATGGAGCAGCGACAGCGAAGGAGTGGGTAGCCTCAGCCGGGGCACCCAGATCTACTTCTCCACCAAGGCCAGGCTGTCCTTCAGACACCAACTGGACAGCAACATCAACGCCGTGGACGCCACCTACTGAGATGATCAGATGACTGCAGAGGAGGCAGTCAGACCCCATTGCAGGATCAAAAGACCTGCAGACCACAAACCGTTGGTCGTCTACAGCTTCGACCTGCAGTCTCTTATGCATCTTCATCTCTGAGAGAACTCTAGAGGTTTCATTAAGTCTGAGGAGAACGGACTAATATGTCAGCTTAACTCTGGAAACAGTGGACTCATATGAACAGACTGATGAGAGAGCAGAAGACATGGTCGTTTACAGCTTCCTTCACCATTAAGTGCATTACTTTTTTTTATGTTTTATGTTTTTTTATGTGTCGACATTTTGGGGGAAAAAAATGCATGTTTTCACTTAACAGTAGATATTTTAGCATTTTGAGTAATTCCCTCTAAATCACAGAACTAACAATATTTAACTTTTTACAAGCTAATTGTGAAACACTACAAAATAATAATAAAAAAGTGCTTTTTTTAATGTCATTTCTTTTTGTAACAGAAAATAAACCTAGAGATCAGACATGGAAATATAGCTTCAACTTCTTTATGTGGTGTTATGAAATGAAGTAAACTGAGCCACACTTCATTTTTACTGTATATCTGCTGTTATTTAACCCCAACTCCTTTTCAATGAAATACTCTAATGCTAAGATCCTTTAATGTAATAGCTTACAATGAACTGACACTCTAATATGTGGAGATAATTTCTTCATCTATCACCTAAACTAATATGTTCTGATCTGTAGTACTCTAACAAGATTTATAATAAAATGTCTGTTTTATATATGAATAGTAAGGGTGGTGTGTTGCTTTCATAATGTTATTCTAGCTCCAGGATCCATTTGAAACTTTGTTGTTTTCGTCTTTTTTTCCTGTCTGGAAATCCGGATTCAATATGTAAAACATTAACAGTGGTTTATAAGAGCAACGCTTTGATTTTGATTTGACTTGGCTTGGTTTAGTCATTCAAATTAATTTTCTTTATAACTACACATTAATATTTGGGTATTATTCCTTAGAAAGTTGCATCTTGCCTACATTATTCTAGCAGAATATTTACTACTCTTGATATATAATTGTTAATTTAACCTGGATTTTTTTCCAGCTCGTCTCTAATTTAAAAATGCTAGTTAAAGTGAGGGCCATTCCAGAGGTTTAGTCCCATGTAATCCATTCTAAAACCAGCATTATTGTCCTCAGAGATCACTTAACTTTCAGTAAGTCATGACTGCCTCAAAATGGCACCTTTTAAGGTAAATTGGTTATGTTCAGGAATGAGGCTGCATGGTGGTCCGGTTATCAGCGCTGCTTTGTTTGTACCACACCTTTTGTCAAAAGACCACCTAAGGTAAGACATAAGCTCCCATCTACCCTGCATGTTTGAGCAACAACTTTCAGTGGATGGATCTTAAAGAACGACCCAGAGATTCAGACCTGCTATCAGAAGTCCACACCATCCACAGTGAAGCCAGTTTATCCACATTGACCGACATGATGCTGAGGGACTAAATTAATTAAATTCAAAGTGAAATGTTTGAAGTCATCTAGCTTTAGATAATCCCTTCAGGTTCTGGTAATTCTACAGCTGGACAAGCCAAATGTCTTCTAGTGAAATGTCCACAATTATAAATAAAATGTCTCAATTAGTTATTGGGAGGGTTTTAAACTGAAGAACATTGGACTGTAAAGCATGGTGGTGGCAGCATTAAGTTGAGGGTGTGTTTTACTACTAGCAGATTTGGTGCATAGCATAGGGGGGTCCAAAATGATTAAGATCCAAAACTGCCATTATGGGTAAAGCTAGTTTTAGTTTCTGGAATGAAGATCTTAACACTGTACAGTAAATGAACGTATAATCTGCCAAATAGGCAGCTGGAACCCTAAAAGTAGTTTGTTCATGGCTACATAAACTGTATGGTCTTGGTGTAACTTGGTAAGGAATATGAAACCAATTATTAGGGTGTATCATTAAACCAGGAGCTGTTTGTATAATTTTCTCATTGGGTGGATTAGAGAAAACACACGTAAATTTAAACCTGTGCATCTAAACATAAAAAAAGCATTAAGTTCTAGTTAAAAGCCTGAAATAGAAAATAGAAATACCCTTTATTCCTTTATTGCCTCACAGTGGGGAAATTCAGGTGTCAATGGAAAGTAAAGCATAAAGGAACACACAAGACTTCAGAAATCGTAAATGTGAAAATAGATTTTACTAGAAAGTAATCTATACAGTGAGGAAATTAACTATCTGAACACCCTGCTATTTTGCAAGTTCTCCCACTTAGAAATCATGAAGGGGTTTGTAATTGTCATCGGTGTCCACCTGGAGACAGAAAATACCAATTTATAGCCGTATCATACAAAAACGTAGTTAAAAAAAATTATATATTGTAATTTCTGGATTTGCCTTTTTTTCGATTGTATGTCTCCCAGTGTACATGCACCTTCAATGACAATTTCAGACCCCTCCATGATTTCTAAGTGGGGGAACTTGCTAAAAAACAGGGTGTTCAAATACTTGTTTTCCTCACTGTAAATATTTATATATAGAAGAAAACACATCTACAAGAATGAAATGCTTGGGTTACATGGAACATTTTTACTCTCAGGTAGCAAAAAGTCTTCTCTTCATATCGCTTTAGTTCATTCTCGAGGGGAAAAAGAGAAAAATCACCTGGTTCAAAAATATTTAAAAAAAAGTATTCACAGGTCTAAAAAACATCGGCGGATAAGCACAGATATCTTCACTGCGTGTGCGGCTTGGAGATGACTCCATCTGGATATCGCTCTTTAAAACGGGCCACAACCTCAGGATCCAACAGATGAATGCCGTCAAGCTGGTTTCCCAGAGTAATCCTGCACAGAAAATAATTTTAGGAGGATTCATATTTCAAAATTTCCTACTGACATCTCGACAAGTATTACTTAAAAAAAAAAAACATTGAAGCAGCACTCTGAAGTCATATCAGAGCCATACTGATATGCAGAGTCGCAGAGAAAGTGATGCAGCAGGATAGTCCTATTTATGAGACGCATTGCAGCAAATCAAAACAGTACTCAATAGAATTTATGGGCCCCAAGTGCATGGAAACCAGCCTGCATGACACAGATGATGTCCTCAGTTCCATCATCTTCTAGGAGCCATCCTGACAGGGGGAGGGTACTGAACTTCAGTTCCTTTATGGTACCGACCATCAAAACATGCCTCGTCTTTCGTTGCCAAGTTTCAATGATTGGCTCTAAAGTTAATATGATTGCATCACTCAAGAAAAATACATACATGGTTATGCCTACAAATGGGATTCACACGTATCTTTGTTGTGAGCCGGTTGCCAGCCTCGTCGAACTGCCTGATAATGCCACCAAGGTCAAAGGTGTGGCTTCACTTTAGAAAGATTGATGCGAGTAGTGCGCAATGCAATATGTGCAAAAAAGACGTTGTTGCTAAGGCTGGAAATACCACTAACTTGATGAAGCACCTAATTGTGCACACAGGATCAATTTAAGAGTGGAAAGTTGCTCAGCGTTTGACTGCAAGAAGAGCAGCCAGCACAGTCATCCTCCTCTTAGCAGCCTGTGAGCAGTACAGACCCGGAGTGAAGGGATTAAAAATCTCCACCACCAGACTCGTCTTCAACAGGCAAGTTTATGTTAGTTCATGTTACTGCAACTTAATAGGTGCACAAACTTGGCAACCAGGTATCTCTGCGTGCGAGCATCATTAACACCCTCAGAGCGCACATCTTCTACTGCTGGAGACACCATCAGCCAGGAGCGGGCTTGCTGAGAAAGCAGACATGTTTGATTTGGAAGAAAAACTGCTAAGTAAAAAGGTCCTCAACATGAAACAGTGAGCTTTAGCCACTGACTTTTTTCACTTGTTTGCAACTTTTCTTTTGCACTGAAAATATTTTTTAATGTAAGAAAAGAGCTTAGAATAGTAAAAGCTGAAATAAAAATAAAAGTCAAGATTTTTACTTTAATATGTAATTTTCTTTTTATTAGAATTGTGGAGGAGTGGCAGCCTAGTGGTTAGGGCATAGAGCTTGAAATCCTGAGGTTGTAAGTTTGAAATCCACACCACAGACTGCCACTCTGGGTCTTTGAGCAAGAGCCTTAACCTCAGATTGCTCCCTGAGCGCAACACAATGGCAGCCCACTGCTCCCCAAGGGGATGAGTTAAATGCAGAGGCACATTTCACAATGTGAGATCAATAAAGTTCAATTATTTATTTATAATATGTTAAAACTGATATAAAAAGTATAGTTCAAGAACCAATATCGAAGTGAAGGTATTAGTATCGAACATTTTTGATTGATACTCAGCCCTAATCCTGACACCTAGAGGCAGTCAGGGTGTCCATCCATACAGTGGGGCAAAAAAGTATTTAGTAAGCCACCAATAGTGCAAGTTCTCCCACTTAAAAAGATGAGAGAGGCTGGTAATTTTCATCATAGATATACCTCAACTATGAGAGACAAAATGAGAAAAAAAAATCCAGAAAATCACATTGTCTGATTTTTAAAGAATTTATTTGCAAAATATGGTGGAAAATAAGTATTTGGTCAATAACAAAAGTTCATCTCAATACTTTGTTATATACCCTTTGTTGGCAATGACAGAGATCAAACGTTTTCTGTAAGTCTTCACAAGGTTTTCACAAACTGTTGCTGGTATTTTGGCCCATTCCTCCATGCAGATCTCCTCTAGAGCAGTGATGTTCTGGGGCTGTCGCCGGGCAACACGGACTTTCAACTCCCGCCAAAGATTTTCTATGGGGTTGAGATCTGGAGACTGGCTATGCCACTCCAGGACCTTGAAATGCTTCTTACGAAGCCACTCCTTCGTTACCCGGGCGGTGTGTTTGGGATCATTGTCATGCTGAAAGACCCAGCCACGTTTCATCTTCAATGCCCTTGCTGATGGAAGGAGGTTTTCACTCAAAATTTGACGATACATGGCCCCATTCATTCTTTCCTTCACATGGATCAGTCGTCCTGGTCCCTTAGCAGAAAAGAGCCCCAAAGCATGATGTTTCCACCCCCATGCTTCACTGTAGCTTTGGTGTTCTTTGGATGCAACTCAGCATTCTCTCTCCTCCAAACACGACGAGTAGAGTTTTTACCAAAAAGCTCTATTTTGGTTTCATCTGACCATATGATATTCTCCCAGTCATCGTCTGGATCATCCAAATGCTCTCTAGCAAACTTGAGACGGGCCTTGACATGTACTGGCTTAAGCAGGGGGACACGTCTGGCACTGCAGGATTTGAGTCCCTGGCGGTGTAGTGTGTTACTGATGGTAGCCTTTATTACTTTGGTCCCAGCTCTCTGCAGGTCATTCACTAGGTCCCCCCGTGTGGTTCTGGGATTTTTACTCACCGTTCTTGTGATCATTTTGACCCCACGGGGTGAGATCTTGCGTGGAGCCCCAGATCGAGGAAGATTATCAGTGGTCTTGTATGTTTTCCATTTTCTAATAATTGATCCCACAGTTGATTTCTTCACACCAAGCTGTTTACCTATTGCAGATTCAGACTTCCCAGCCTGGTGCAGGTCTATAATTTTGTTTCGGGTGTCCTTTGACAGCTCTCTAGTTTTGGCCATGGTGGAGTTTAGAGTGTGACTGTTTGATGTTGTGGACATGTGTCTTTTATACTGATAACGGGTTCAAACAGGTGCCATTAATGAAGGTAACGAGTGGAGGACAGAGGAGCCTCTTACAGAAGAAGTTACAGGTCTGTGAGAGCCAGAAATCTTGCTTGTTTGTAACTGACCAAATACTTATTTTCCACCATATTTTGCAAATAAATTCTTTAAAAATCAGACAATGTGATTTTCTGGATTTTTTTTCTCATTTTGTCTCTCATAGTTGAGGTATATCTATGATGAAAATTACCGGCCTCTCTCATCTTTTTGAGTGGGAGAACTTGCACTATTGGAGGCTGACTAAATACTTTTTTGCCCATCCATAGCTATGCCTCTCCAGAGCAAAACTCACCCATCAAACCGGTCACACTGAATAATGCAGCAACATGGCTTCCATCACAGCTCCTCCAGATCCTTTCACACCTCTCAACAGCAGAGTGTGAAACGCCCAACCTTCCAATTCTAGTGTTGATGCCAGCAGAGCTTTATGCAGTGAGGTAGTAGAGAGCGTCTGGCCCTCAGGTCGACCTCATGGAGTCTGTGTCTAATAGGTTGGTCTCATATATATTAACGCCTGTTGCAGGTCACTTTGCATTGCTCTAGCAGCCCTCATCCTGTTCCTCCATGCACTAAGGAGCAGATATCAGGCCTGTTGATAGGTTAAGGACCTTCAATGGTCCTGTCCAGCTGTCCTAGGTTAACTGAATCTCCTCCATGCTCTTGAAACAGTTATTGGAGATGAGCAAACCTTCTGGTTATGGCACGTATTGATGTGCCATCCTGAAACCTTTCTGGGATCCAAGTGTCACTTCACAAATAGATTGTAGAGGAACCAAAGTTGCAAACAAAGCTGATTCTGGCCTCCTGAAAACAGTATTTAATCTTTATAAATGTAGTTTAGCATCGTTAGGTCATGCAATAGGTCCTGAAATGTTTTTGTCCTGAATTATCAGAGAGTTCGGGTTACCAGTTGGGCTGGACATTGTGAGGTCGGCCGAAGAGCTCGATCTTCCTCGTGCCGGGCGACAGCCGCTCTATCATGCCGTAGATCTCATCTGGTTTGTGGCTGGTGGAGCGGACCTGCGTCAGAGCGTGCAGACAGTTACAAGCTGAAAGGAATTAGAAATAACAACCTGTGTCTAAGGATGGGCGGTACTTTACTTCAGCCACAATGACGTCGCAGTCCAAACCTCGGTTGAACCCCTGAGTGTTTCCTTTCACGCCCACCTGAAGACATCCAAAAACATCACCGAGCTAGTTTTTAGGACATTTAATTTCAGGAGCTGTGTAAGGAAGGAACTCAAGGACTTTAGATATACCAGACAGTGCTCCTTCCCGTGGTTCAGCCAGTGACCCGTCCTGCCTGTGCGAATGATTCGCTGCAGCTGGTTGGTTTTCACCCAGATGATTTCATCCACGCGCTCATAGCTGAGGATACACAACGGAGAAGTAATTAGGAAGGGAAAAAGGTCAGGAGGTGAAAGGGGGAGTCAAAAAACACCCTAAACATTACCTACCCCCAGAGGCTGAGACACTCCCGGCCCAACTCCATGGCCCTGTGAGAGAACAACAACCATCTCTATGTGCGTTTATGTTTACAATCAAAAGGCAGAAAAAAACAAAAAGAGTTTTACATTCAGTGAAATAGATTCTCTTAATCAGATATCACTATTGTTTCTACATATCTTGTGTTTCTGGAACCTACAAACATCCATAGCTTCGTGTGAATAGATCTGCAAATCTAATAATCCAACAGACCTACTTTAACATGCAGGTTTCTACAAATTTCCAGACTCAAATTTCTAGATTTTCTTCAGCGTTTTCTATCCGTCTGTTAGCAGGACTTTCTCCTAAAACATCACGCTTTAGGAATTTTTGAAGCACATTTCAAAAATATTTCACTGCACAATTTAAAGCCACAGATCCAGTGTAACTGGAATTTAAAGCTTCTCAGGACCAAAGCAGCAGTAAAATGTAAAGCGTGCACACAGTCAGTAAAAGTAAACTCTAAACACTGATGAATTATAAAGCTAAAAGCAAGTTGAGCATGTGGATATGATAGGAATTGATGTAAAAACTACAGCATTTATGAATGATTTAAAACATATATTTTTCTTACAAAATGAAAGAAGAAAAAAAAAGTATTTTCTATACTTATCTGCCTAGGAACTTGATGCGTCAAAAATGTTATAACAATGTTACTTAATTTCTTTATGCAGCATTTTGTCTGCAATGGTGAGATTTCTTTTAAACCTGCTAGGGCTGAAACAATTAATGGTTATAAATCGATTATTGAAATAATTGTCAACTAATTTAGTAATTCATCAATCGTTAAATGGAGCACAGAGACATTAAAACAGGCTTTTAACTGACAGAGCAACCCACTCAGAGCAGTGATTCTATTAATATTGTAAAAAAATATATAAAGATTTTGGATACAAGATAAAAAAAAATAAATTAGGTTTTTTTAGCTGGCAATATGCTCTATCCAGAACTCTTCAAGTAGAAAAATTTTAGTTTCAACTGGTAGAATTTTGTAAAAAAATGGTCTTTAAAACCTGTTGTTATCTGATTATTGATCGATTAATGGAAAAATAATTAATAGATTAATCAATTTGCAAAATAATCATTAGTTAATCAAAGTTCAATAATCAACCTGCTGATAGTTAACTGACTAATACGGAGCCAACATAATGCATATAAAGCAGAGGGCTTTATGGTATAAAATCCACTTCCTCTATATAAACAGTTCTTAGCAGCTACTAACTTTTAATCCCTTTTTTTTTTTAAGTATTTTCCTTAACAGATTTATTTACCCGTTTTTGTTTGATTGGAGCTCATACTGTGTCATATTTAATGATAGTGAACCAGCCCAAGTGGGGGTTAGATATACAATAATAGAGCAGCCCCATAAAATAGTGTTTCACTGCTATATGGTGAGCTATATTCATCTACCTTCCAGTGACCCAGAGGAAGAGGAAACCATCATCCTGCAGGGCAGGAATGCTGAGTTTTATCATCTCGTCATCAGTGAGGGTGCCGTATGGCAGCTCCATGTGAATGTCCCAGGGAGGGTCAGCCATCACCACAGAAAACTTCCCCAGGATGGACATGTCCAGGTAGCGGATATCGCAGCAGATCCACTGGGGATTAAACAGCAGTTTTACTCCTTTTAGACAGAATCCATGACCCCCCCTGTTCAGAAGCCGTTACCCTTGTTGCCCACCTGCGAAGGGAAGAGTTTGCCCACGGTGCTGTCTGCGTCTTCAGCATGGAGGCCGATCTCCGGGGTCCCCGCCTGCGGCCCCATCAGGCTGCTCTCTGCCTCTGGGGGGCTGTCGATCTCATAATGCACGTATTTACAGGTGTCCATGTGGAAGCAGGTGTTGAGGAAGGAGCAGTCACCCAGACTCTCATCTGTGTGCTTGTTGATGATGCGGCTGAATAAAAATTGTTAAAGTTGGAAACAGTGAGTTGATAAAGCATTTTATCCTGAAAATCTTTGCTTAACAACTTTCTCACAGCGGTGAGAACAAATCTTAACCTATTAAAGGTGTTTTTTTTGGTCACAGTTTAATGTTTTAGAACAAATTCAGTGTGATTGGAGATTGAAAACCTGAGCAGATTTAAAAACAAATCTTTGTGGATCGTTTCAATGACTAGCAGAAAAAAAGATGTCCAGTAATATCCGGATTAATAGACGTCCAATTAGCATCAAAGCGCAATTTGATGTCTATTATTGTGTTTTAACATCCTACTAATTCCTGCTATTTGCCTTATACCTTTACCCTTTAGTGCAAATGCAGACCTCATTTTAAATTATTCAGAATCAGAATGACAAAGATGAGCCTAATTATGCTGGTAAACCTGAAAAAAATACAATGTCTCAGCATAAATTTAATTAAATTTACAGATTTTTTTTTTTTATTAAGCACACATTTAGCTGATTACTACTGCATAAACATTAGCAGGTTCTATATATTTTACATATATAAAGAAGTAATTTGTTAAAAGGCACACATTAATAAATAAATAAATAATCTGAAGTATCACCTAATTTTACTGTATTTTTATTTTGACGATCAGATATGATTCAAGAACATGTTCTTCTCTGTGTATTAGGCTCAGTTTACGAAGTTTAGAGTGTCAGCGACTCTGTTCAGCTCATCGCTGTTACAGGAAGACACTTTTTAAAACATTTGTTTTTTGACCCAGGAAGTGATTGAAACATGGGGGAGAAATTTTTACCAAACTCCTGGTTGGAAAAAATATATAACTGTATGCTGTCAATGAAGAAATAAAGGGAAAAAAATAATTTTCTCTCCAAACAACTTACTGGTTTTCATCAACTGCACTGCACTGAATAAAAGTGTCTGACTGACTTCTATTGTACATTTTCCAGGATGATTTAACTACTGATTTATTAATTTTTTTTTGCATCGACTTCAGGCTTTTTTTTTTTTCCAAATCCTAAAATTAAGATTTCAATCCAACTAGATATATTTATCCTCAGGTATTTGTCAGGAAAAGAAGTCAACCCTGTCATGAACAGAATTAAAAGCTAAAAACTGTGATTATAGCACCATCTTCTGACTAAAATAATGTTACTCTAAACTTAAATCATAGAAGCTCAAAGGATGGAGAAGTGTTTACATTTTGTAAATGTCACTGCGCAGTACAGGATAATTTAGCATTTAACCAATCAGATTTGCCTTCTGCAAATTAAGTTAAAAAGTCGATAAACTAAGTTAAACAGTGAAGAAAAAAAATTATGATTCTGTATTAGCAATAGATAAAAGATTATTTCTTTCTGTATTTTTCATGAAGACCTTATAAAAAGTACTTTCTGTGTTTGTTTTTAAAATATTGGAGCAAGTGACATGTCTGGTAATTAAATTGACACCGATCTTTGCTATAAAATATGTGTATATATTAGTGCTGTCAATCGATTAAATTTTTTTAATCGTGATTAATCGCATCAATGCCTGAGTTAACTCGCGATTAATCGCATTTTAATCGCACATTTTTTACTGATTGAAAATCATTTAAATACTCTCGATGACATACAAAAAAATACATACAGGCTAGGTTTGTGCCAATGTTCTTTTTTTAAAATGAAAACAGGTCACAGACACTGATTTATGCCAAAAATAACAAATATGTAGCCAAAAAAAAGGCCCTGAAAACAGGCTGATGTAAAAGACAGTCTTTACAGTTAATACAGTCTTTTGAACAAAGACAAGCATTTTACCCTACTGCTATAAAATTTAGTAGAGTTAACATTAGATGTTAATTAACCAAGATAATAATGAACAATTTTCAATCAATACATCAAAATCAATAGACCGACATCACTAGATGGAGGTAGTCTATGCTCTAGAAAGTTACTTTTCAGCCTCTTAACAAAAATGAGAACACACACACAAGCACCCACCCACCCACACACACACACACACGATACCGACCTGTGGCGTACACAGACGGCAAGAGTGCCGTAGCAGATTCCATTTCACCTCAGTAATCTGTTTTCTCAGCGTATTTTAGGTTGCTACTAGTTACCAGACACTCAACTTGTTTGTTGGTGGTGGGGCTTAAAGAAAAGGCACTAGCGTCACCCAGTGTATGAGCGTCTTTTTCCCTTGAGGAGCTCCGCTCTCGAAGCCTATGAGAAATGCATAGACTGGGGGAAAATAGCCCCGCCTTCCCACAGGCTGCAGCGGGATGTACTTGGAAAATTGTACCATAAAACCACATAGCGTTAATCTCACGTTAAAAAAATTATCACCGTTAAAATGGCCTTGCGTTAACGCGATAATAACGCGATAATTTTGACAGCACTAGTATATATACTAGTAATACTGTCTTATTCTGTTCTCCAATTTTTTCCAAAGTATTTCACTGAGTTCTCTATAAAGGGTTAAAATCCTTACCGGAAGTGGAGCTTAGGGCACGGCTGAGGACTGTCCCCGGAGCGGAAACACTCCTCTTTGGTCCCGTAATCACAGAACTCCTGGACCTGAGCTCTTCCTCGAGACCTGAACTTTTCCACTATAGATTGCTCCTTGGCTGTGCTGGCATTAAGGAGCTCCAGAATCTCTTGACTCATCTTAAAGAATAATAAATACATACATTAGACTCCTATATCCACTCCTCCGCTGATTAAAGTGTTAGGTGAAATATTCAAAACAAGTATTATAACCTTCTTGCTTTGCTGCTCCTTGGTGGACTGCTGGTTAAGGAGACTCTCAATCTCCATGTCCAAATGAGACGACTGGCTCTTACTGCTGCGACCCTTCTTCTCAGCTCCGCTCCCTGAAGAAGAAGATCCCGCCAGCTGCGAGGAAGAGGCCGGCGTCAGGGAGGAGGAGGAGGACATGTGTGGAGGCGATGCAGAGCTTTGCAGTTTAGGTGAAAAGCCACCGAGGGTCTGGTCTTCAGCTTTTCTCTTGGCTCCAGCTCTCTGGGCTCCAGACACCGAACCAATCATGGCCCAAAGCTTTGTGTGATCCACAGCTACGACGACCGTAGCAGGAGGAGAGGAAGTCGTAGAAGAAGAAGAGATGGAGGTAGGCTGTCGGACCTCAATGAGCTCCTGTGCAGAGAACTTGAGAAGCAGGCTCTGGATGCATCCATGAGTAACAGCACCTTCAGCCTGTGACGACCAACATGGGCACTAGATAAAGAAAAAACTACACAGTCCATGGCCTTAATTTTCATACGTGTAGGGAGACTTACACTGTTGAGCTGGTTTGTAATGGCCAGTGAGTCCGTCGGCAGTGTGAGGCTCAGATCAGAGAGATATCCCAGCAGCATCTTCTCCAGTTCTGGGTCTGGTGGTTTCTCTGTCTCCTCCTGAGAAGTAGAAGGAGTTGATGGAGCTGGGCTGTCGCTCCTGGCTGTGGAGCCATCAGTGGTTACCCCGCCATCTGCATAGACAGTAAAGTTCATTAAATCTGTCTGTTGCATTTCTGCAAACAGTGCACACACAGGGCTCCTTCACATCTATCATGCCAGTATTCTATGTTTTTTATTCTAATGATATTTAATGTTTAGTTATTGATAGTGACTATATTTAGATGGATTTACTCTTTTAAAGCAAAGTACACATATTTTGTATTGTTTTGGCTTAATTTTTGCTCTGAGTTAGTTGTTCTTCCATAGACAGCATCTTTTAGAGTCTATCTACTCGAGTCAAGGATTGATCAGATTATTCTTCAGTCCAAATATGATCAAAAGAATTAGTAGTTTAAAGGTGGATAAACTGATTGAGTTAGTTTAAAGGTGGATAAACTGATTGAAAATGTCATTATTTATGAGGAATATAAAATACTTTCTGTTTAGTTTTCAAATATATCATCTCTAACAAATGTTAGATCCTAATAATAACATATGCAATGGCCAGATTTGCCATTGGACCTTTATATCAAATTTAACATCTAAATATGATAACAGGCATCAAACCATTATATGCTAAACAGAACTTATACTCAAATATAAATATAAATCTGAAAGCTTCACGCAGATTTTATAGCATTATAATTAAGTATCAGTGTATCAACCCTCCAGACCACTCAGGTCTTCTGGCTCCAGCCTGCTCTGCATACCTAGAACCAGAACTAAACATGGAGAAGCAGCATTTAGTTCATTTGCTCCACTTATCTGGAACAAACTTCCAGAAAACTGTAAAAGTGCGGAAAGCCTGAGTTCCGTTAAATCAAGACTAAAAACACATTTGTTTAGGATTGCGTTCGGCTGTTCTAGTTAAACAGATCAACTGAAACATAATTGGTTCAACTTTTTTATTTTCTTTAGTCCAACTGTTTTTAATGTTCTTTTTTGTTTCTGCATTTTTTATTTATTTATTTTTTTCCTACTTGCTTTGATTCTGTTTTATTTTTCTATATTTTAATCATGTAAAGCACTTTGCATTGTCTTTGTACTGAATTGTGCTATACAAATAAATTTGCCTTGCCTTGTCTTGTCTTACTATAGTAAACTCATAATGACATAAAAGGTTTTCTGGATTCCTGTTGATTTCGTCATCGCTTTCTTTTTAAGGTGTAAGGTGTATGTCAATGGAAACAAATATCTGTATTTTTCTTTTCTTTTTTATGTACTGCTTGTTACTGTGCACTATTTTATTTTTTTATATTTGTATCATGTTCAAAATAAATCTCATTTCATTTCATTTCATTTCATTTCATTTCAAAGAATAAGATTTTGTGCGTGTTTTTAATGTGCCGTTATGCTTCGAGAGATGAGGGAGGCCCCTGTAATCTAAAGCAACAACGGAACTTAAAGGTTTAATACATTTACAGCTTTTTTTTTTCATTCATTTCTTTAATAATCAGAACAGTAACAATGAACACAGGCTGCAGCCGCCGCACCTACCCGCCCCGGAGAGCTGCGCCGGGTCCTTCCGCCTCCGCTGCAGCCTCTCCCGCAGCGAGTCCAGCTGCTTCTTGTGAGCCTGGATGTTGCTCCACGTATCCGACATGATGCGCTCGATTAAGGAGCAGTTAAAGTATAAAAAAAAGGGGTAACACCGATTCAAAACACAAGCTGAAAACAAACCGCGCTCCCAATAGGAGTACGCGTGGTGCACCTGGGTTAAGCGTCCGACTGAAAATAAGGTCGATATTAAGCGTTCCGCTGGCGTGTCCAGAGCAATAAATAAAATATTACATGCAAGTCTACTCATAAAAAAACACAGTAAATAGAATCTAAACGTATGTTTAGTGTTCTGCCACCTGATGGTTGTTAGGAGTCGCTTATTGTGGATATCGACATGTTTTATTATTAGAAGGGTGTTGGCTTTGGGCTGACCCTTTATTCTTTCCTGTGGAGTGACAATCATGAGTTTAACCTGAGCTGTGAAATTCTGCACCAGCGAGGTAGGCTTCAGTCTTTTTGTATTTTTTCTATTTTTGGATTACAATCACAAATGTCGTTGGTTTCCATCGTGTTTAATTTTTAATTTTCCGAATTTCATTTTATCAACTAATTTTTGTTGAAGATATATATTTTTTATTTTTTCAAATAAATACATATTTTTGAAGAATATAACACTCAAGGCCCATATAGTGAAAATGATTGACCGTATGTCGGATGAAAACAGTAGAACATGTATTATTAGAATGTAATAAGTATTCACAGAAATAAAGAAAAACAGGATTTTCAATGATGAACCTTTTAGGAAGTAAATCAAATTTTGCTATAAATCAGTTAATCAGATTTTTTTTTTAAACACTGGATTATTTAATCGTATTTAAAGTAAGAATATAAGTGTGTGTATACTAATTTATATGTGAGTTTGTATGGATATTGATTGATAGATAACAAGCAGATTCGTTCATACCATTGAGGTATGAATTAATAACTTCCCTCTGACATCATTGATGACCTCACTCCAGTCTGGTAGGTGGCGGTAACTGCACCTTAAGTTTGTTGCCATCCGCCAATACAAAACATGAGAAGAAGAGTATTACGTCGGAAGGAATTACGTGCGTACATCTTCGACTTCCGGTGTCCCAAAAATTAAAAGCCCGTTTCCTTTGTTGGTGAACTCACTCTCCTGGTTCTGCAATTAAAATAATGATTATGACTGTCAATAGGGATGGTAAAATGCTTTAAATGTAAACTTATATAAAGATACGTACAACATTTCATTTCGTTGTCGTCTGGCTCCCCTGGACCTGTTTTTCACCTCAAACAGTAGCAAAGATGGCGGAGAAAGAGGAGAGTAGTCAAGCTGGGGAAAACAAAACTGAGCTGCAGATCATTAAGGTAAGTCAAACTCTATAAACATCCTTCAGTTTTTCATAAACACGCAGAACCTCTCTCCTTTTTGTTATGTCGATTCAGTTTGCTTTTCTTAAGGTAGACCTGCACCTACAGCTAAATGCTGAGACAAAGGGTAGCTCAAATTACATTCCTGACAATAAATGCATTTAGATATTTACTAACATAAAATGTTGGGTTGACTATATGTACAATCTGCTTATACAACGTTGACAATAACGACATAAAGGGTCGTTCATGAGGTAATCTAAGTTTTTTTCATTAGGAAGCTCCATCAAACAGCAAGTCACTGGTTTTATCCTGTAAACAGAGGAAAGAAACAACACATTGCCTGATTTTCTTCCTGTTAACATTTCTGTGGGTGCATTAAAATGTCTGGTTGAAAAAGGCTTTATGTTTTTCTCCACATCTTGTGTCGCTATAGTGTTAATTTATGCTTATTTAAAGAATGAGAAATGTTAATTTGCATAATAAATATTAGTTAACAAAACAAACATTGAAACAAAACAATATTCAGGTTGCTATTTAACTGTTAACAGAAAGGTCAGCATTTAGAAATGTGTTCCTTCCTGTCATTTTAGTTCATTGCTTTGCCTCATTGACCTGGGTGTCTCTCATCACTTACATCCCAGGAGCTGGTGGATGAACTGTATCAGTTCAAAGATTGCTATTTTGAGACCCATGGCGTGGAGGAGGCTGGACGGAAACCCGATGACGTCAAACAGAAGATGGAGGAGATACTGAAGAAGCTGGAGGAGAAAGAAGGTAGGTGCTGTCTTCCAGGAATAAACAACAAGTATAATATTTTAATGTGAGACATGACAGTTCTTTCCTGCTCACTTGTTTGGATCTACAGACAGCTTAAAAAACAAAGTAGAGTTTCTGATGCAGAAAGGCCGGTGTCTGAACGTGGCGCCGGACTACAGTGCTGCAGCAGAGGAGTGCCTGTCCCGAGCTGTAAAGCTGGATCCCTGCCTGGTGGAGGCCTGGAACATACTGGGGGACCAGTACTGGAAGAAGGGAGACCTTATCGCTTCTAAGAACTGCTTAACTGGTGCCCTGCAGCAGGTATGTGAGCCACAAAGGGAGCAGGGATTCTTTTCTTTGTGGTCTTTTAATTACTCTTTTATCTCTATATTTATCTGTTTTAGGAGAAGAATAAGGTATCTCTACGCAACCTCTCCATGGTGCTGAGGCAGCTGCCAGCAGCTAATAATGATGAACACGGTAAGCGTGTGCTGGAGAGTGTGGACTTGGCCCGGGAAGCTGTGCAGCTGGACGTCAGTGACGGGACTTCATGGTGTGAGTAGAATTACAAAGAAACTCTTAAAGGTTTGAACATAGTCTTCTTACAGTAAGCCTTTTTAAATAAGTTTCTTCCTCATCTTTTGCAGTTGTTCTTGGAAATGCCTATTTGTCTCTGTTTTTCACCTGCGGACAGAATCCACAATTCTCCCAACAAGCTCTAAGCGCCTATGCAAAATCTGTAAGCTCACGATTTCATATTCTCGTTTTTCAGACTGAATGCGCACGCCAACACTTTTTGTTTTTTTGCCACAGGCCGAAGACAAGATTGCATCCAGCACACCAGATCTGCACTTTAACAGAGCCAACCTGTTTTACTACGAGGAGATGTTCGGATGCGCGCTGGAAGGCTACAGCCGAGCGGCAGCGTTGGACCCAAACTGGGAGGAGCCACGGGAGAAGGAGAAGCAGCTGCTGGAGTATCTGGAAAAAGTGTCAGAACTCATCCAGAACAAGGTTTGCAGTTGTTCTTCTGTCTGTTTTATTTTATGTTACATAACATTGAAAGAAAGCCTTGTAATTTGCTCAGCATTTAGTTATCACAAGGTTTCAAAAAGCGTAACTAATAAAATGTGCATTAATCAATCCAGCAATCCTCTGGGTTTTAGTGATTTTTATTTCCTGAAATCAAAAGTACAAAATATCTTGTTTCCTATTAATAGGGTTTAATGTTTAAAGATAGCTATTTTTAACCACTAGGTGGCAGCAGAGTGCTACATAACTGTTTTTCGCTGCCCTCTTCACCCTGGACCTTGGTGTGTGTTTTTCAAGGGCAAGGTGAAAACACGTCGGCTGAGGACGATGTTGTCAAGCCTCAACACGTCAGCTCTGGGCCCCTGCTCGTCCCCGCAGTTCCGCTCCCCTTCTGGCCGCGTGGGCAGCCTGGAGCCGCGTTCCCTCTCCTCCCTCCCACACGGCCATAACGCTGGAGTGGCCGCCATGGGGAAGGTGGTGTTCAGCCTTGCCTCTCAGGGTCGCATGGCCTTGTAAGTGAAGCTAATTTCAAACTCTGCCTTTTTTTTTTTTTTTTTTTTTTTTTTTTTTTTAAGCCTATGGTGCAAACATTTCTCTACATGAGCAGTGAATCTGTGCATCTCCTCCATTGCTAATCTTGATTTAGAAGTTTATTATGTTTGAATCCTTTGCCTGCTGTTTAGTTACCATGGAAACATAGTTTTTAAACTTGCACTAAGAAAACAAGTCGAAACAAGACTGATATACATGAATTCCCCTCCATCTTTGTCACATTTATCCTTCTATTTTTGCCAACGTCTTTTTCTGTTCCTCAGTACGTTCGGCATGGTGGACAGTGAGGAGACGTGTATAGTGGTGATGGTGTACAACACGGCAGACACCTGGGGCGTCCTGATCGGAGACACCGTGGTCATCCCTGAACCCAACGTCAAGCGTCACAGCATCACACATAAAGACAAGGTCTGCGTGACTCATGTTGTATTTCTAGCTTCACGTTGGTGTCCGTGGGTCTAACCTCTTCCTGTCTTCTTTCCCGCAGTCCTATGACTTTAAAAGCATACGGGTGGACTCTCCCCTGCTCCTCATCGTCAACGGCAAGAAGCAGAACGTCCAAAGTCAGATCCCTGTGTCTGTGAGCTATGAGAACCGCCAAAAACTTAAGGAAACGCACTGAAATGTTTTTTTTTACCTGGAGTTTAACAGTTGTTTGTTTAGGTTTTTAAAATTTTCTGAATCCTGTGCCTGGTTCAAACATTTTTTTATTATTATTAATATTATTTCTTGTTTTTGTTTATATCCATGATGGTCCTGTTTTGTTAATTCACAACATTTTCTCATGAGTCAGCTTTTAGTGTTAAGCCCTGAATTCTGTTTACTTGGGAAAAATAAATAACATTTTCTGTGAACCTTTTTGTTTGTGTCATCTCTCGGGAAAAGAAAAAAAAAAAACTCAAAGAGGAATCATTGCAAAGCCACATATTTGATAAATCGCTCCAGGTAGGGTGAGTGTTCTGTTAAACTAGTTCCTGATCGTTTCATTCTCGCAAAGCCAAAAGTTTTACTAAAGAATTTACCCCATAACCACCAGCTTTGGTTGTTTATTAATGCTCACTGGTAAACATCTTAAATAATGAGGCTGGGCTTCTGCTTTCCAGTGCAGTAGAACTATATAACTGATCAAATACCTTAGTGACTTACCTGAGTTAACAGTTTCACAAATATAATGTTTATAAACATGCTACTTAAACATATTATTTTAGCTATTTTTTTGCAGCACAGCTTTTACAGAAAGCATCAAGTTAAAGTCTTCCTTCAGTGCTTATTGATGAAGGGACGGTTCTCCCTTGCTGGAGGGCTGAGCTGGAAGAAGGACTTGGCTCCATCGGCCTCCAGGCAGGAGAAGAAACGCTCGTCACCAGAGGCGCCAGCGGAGAGGAACCGAGGGGTCCTCTTAGGGGTCACCTGCCGTGCCATCGCTAGGTGAAACACAGGATGTGGATGGAAGTTAGCTATGGTTACCCCGATAGAAAAGGACCTCAGTCTGTACTTTGACCTCAAGTTTTAGTTTTGAAGACATGTTAAACAGCAAAGTTCACAAACATTCTAATTTTTCTCAGAGTGGAGGTCATGTAATAAATGTAGGGCTGAAACAATTGGATTAATCGTTGACTTGAGTATACAGACTCTAAAATATGCCTTTAGCTGACAGAGTGCAGGAGTTACACAAAATATATAAAATAGTAAAAAAAAATATTTAGCATTTAACATAAAAAAAAAAACATTTTCTTCTCTCAATATGTTCTATCTAGAATTCCACAAGTGGAAAAGTATTAGTTTCTTCTTTGAGGAACGTTTTGCTATTATTAAGTGATTAACCAAAAGAAATAATTGAAAGATTAATCGACAAGCAAAATAATCCTTAGTTTCAGCCCTAAAAAATGTTTCTTATCAACATGTCTTCTCCTTACTGCTCTGGGGAATTATTTGAGTTATCTTTTTCACAAACATGGGTTAAAATAGCTAAACTACGTAAAAATAGAACTAAAACTGTAAAAAAGAATCCTATTAGTCTTGAAATTTATGCTTACTCATTTTTAAAAAGACATTTCAGCACACGGGAAGAAAATGCTGAATCATAAAGTAATTCAAATGCTAAACACAAAGATAATAGAGAGACAAATATATATATATGTGATATAGAAGCAAATGTACATCAGATTTGAATAGAAATATACCTGATTCACAGGTAGAGATGTAGTTTGTCTATTTTTATAATACATTTAAACTAGGTTAAAAATCTTTAAAAGCAGAACGGGTTAGCCCTTATTGGCATCTGTCTTTGTTTTAATGAATACATTTAGTTTAAACTCTTAAAGTTTAGTTATTTGTTTAGGATGTAATGTGTCCTGTTAACATTTACTATTTTTCTGACTTTCTTTTCCAACTTTATATTTTGTAAGTTTTTGGGATACATCTGTCTACACATCATACATATACTTGCTTTTAGAGAGGAGTTTTTAATAACCTATTTAAAATCAGCAGTTGAAATGATAGGCATACTGAGACTTAAAGCATACTCAGGTATGAGAAAATAGTATCAGGATCTACATATATCTAAATCCAAATATTGGATCAGAAGTAAAAAATTAAATAGAAAAAGTGGATCAGTCCATCCCTAAAAAAAACTGCATTACTAACCTGCACAACAAGCACTAAACATCTGCAACATATGATATTAGAAGATTTTTTTTATAAATCTGTATTTTAAACTGGCTAACAAGCAGAATTTACTGACTGATGTTCAATCGTGAATAGAGATGAACGGTTCCACTTTTTTTCTGATCTGATGCGATACTGATAGCTGCGCTGAGTGTATCGTCCAATATACGACTCAACTGTTAAATGAATGAAACACATATCTCTCCATGTGAATGAAGACTTTTATCCTTCATATAAACATTGCTTAAAAAGGTAACAAATCAACACAGATATTAATCTACTTTATGTTGTTTATTAAAAAATAAGCAGCACAAATAAATATATAAATAACAGTTCCATGTAAAGTGCACTGCATTGTATCTCTGATATTTAATATAAAATCACAGATATCAGATCCAGGTTTGGGATCGCTGCATCTGTAGTCGTGCAAAGAGGCAGCACATTTAGAGATCCTGCAGAACGTCAGGCAGAATCTAAAACAGTCCCTCACTACCTTACATTAATGTCAGTTAAAACTAAAAAAACACACTACAAACCATAATTTAGAAACATGATCCTGAAATGCTGATGCCTCCTGTGCTGAAGATCTGTTACTTGGAAAAAAAAAAAAAAAAATTGTTTTTCTCTCCACTGTCGCCACATGCTTGCTCAGAACAAAGTTAAGGACAATAGATAAATCTGTACCAACAGGCCTTAAATGGCCAGTTAAACTTGACTCATTTATCATAACTAGGATTAAATTAAATTGTATGCATCTGCATCCGAGTTTAATAATTTTCAGCACGTGCCTCTTAGATTGCCATCAACTCTACTGGAATATTTTCATGACTGTTCGTGCAAAAGAGTATTTCGAATAAAAAGAATTGCTGAAATAAAGAGCAGTGTGTCAGTCATACCAATGTTTAGGTCCTGATTCCCATGGTGTGATGGCATCTCTCGGTCTCCAGCTCCCACCACCATGTTGCGCAGCCTCAGGGAGTCATAGAGCCCCTGCAGCTTCTGGTACTGCCTGTTCCTCTCCATCAGCCTCTCAGACACCTCACTGTACTTCCTCTTGTACTCCTCCATCACCTGAGCCAGAGGAGCATTTTGACGACACAAAAATAAGGTGATGAAAACTTCTGTCTCAGCCTTTCTTAAAAACGAGCACTCGTGAAAGTATTGGTGAAAAACAGTTGCAGCTTACTTTCTTCAGTGAGGAAATCTCGCCCCTCATGGCAGTGAGTTCTAGTTCTCTGCTCTGGTTCTGCTGGGTGAGAACTTTCTCCATCTGCTTCAGCTGTGTGTCAGCGCGGGATAGACTGTACTCTTGGTACATACGCTCCTGATGGACCTGAAGACAGGAAATGTTAAAAACATAGTGTGGTTTTAAAGGAGAAAACAAGCAATGCTGCATGAATAAAATCAGGGCTGCAGAGTGAAATGCCTGACCTGGTAGGTCCAGAAGGCAAGAGCACGAGAACTGATGTCCAAGACTATGTCTGGTCGCAGACCTGCCAGCACCATGGCTTTATACTCCTCAGAGGGCGACAGCTCGGTCCTCATAATGTCCATCTTCCCGGACAGAGCAGAGGAGCACGCCGGGCAGATGACAGGAGAGCGGCTAAACTCGCCGGATCCATGTTGATCACAGAAAACATGGGAGCAGGCGGTGACCCAGGCAAAGCCACTCAGCTTTCCCCGACACTTGGGGTAGTTACACAGCAGGGTGTCATCACCGAGAGACATGGCCATCACTAGAAGGAAGAGTAAACACTCTGCAAACTTAAATTGTTTTATAACAAGAGAATAATGTTCTGGGCACTACATAATGGTAGCTTGGTGCTAACAAGTAAATGTATAATTTAAGATGTGAGTCTTAACTATTTCATGATGTGTCATTATTAGAGGTTGGTTTTAATTTGTTATATTTATGGGAGTAATATAAAAAAAGAGAAGTAGTTATACTGTAATGTATTTATTCCTTTTACTTCATTAATATCCTTATATTATATACTGTAGTTGCTATTCCAACTAGAGTAATATTACTATTCAAGGATGAGCTAAATATACAGCAAAAAGTAAATATTATCAATGGAACTTCTTAACCCTGTTCTAATATATACACATTAGTCACAGTAATGATTGATTTCATAAGTTTTATGATGAAAACTATAATTTTGAAAAAATATTTATGTTGCGGGAATTTTTTATTTTGTAATCATATCAACTATTTGTATTTATTAATGGATTTTAGTCTTAAAATAAAATACATCTTACACAATAAGAGTCTGACAGCATCACTTCTAAATATTAAATATGTAATGATCCAACAAGTACTCAGTACTTGAGTATCCTTTTTTTTTTTGCCAAATACTTTTTAACTCTTAGTTGAGAAATTTCTTGGATTTCTACTTTTTACTTTTACTTGAATAAAAAAAAATGTTAAAAAGTAGTGCTACTCTTACCTGAGCACAATTTTTTAAATACTCTACCCAACTCTGGCTATAGCTGCCCATAGTTTGAGTTTTCTGGAAAATACTTTTACTAAATTCAATTAATATCTTTTTATATTGGACAAATTTTCAGTTCTGCTTTGAAATAATAATAAAAACTTCAAAAATAAATTTAGAAATAATGAACTGACTTTAATTTTCAGATAAATAGTTCCAAGCCAAATACTTTAAATAATTTTACGTTTTATTCAGTTTTTATTTAGACTAGCCTGTAAGGCAAGGCTGTAAGCTACTAACTCTTAATTCCCTTTATACCCACATTATTGTTTATTTTTCCGAACTTTTAATTTCTAAAAATAAATAAATAATATATTCGTGTCATATTTTTGTAACTAAAATATGGAGATTTATATATTTTAAAACGAGGCTACATTTTCAACTGTTATATTCTAAAACTAGCAATACAGCTAATAAAACTTAGCACAAGGATTAACTAATGCTAAAAAAAGGTTCAGTCATGTTCGTTATGTACTTTTTAAAGCGTTTTACGTTTAAAAATCTGATTTCTTTAGTTTAATACTACTCCATTCGATGATTTTTAAACTAATTTTTGTCCGTTAGCAGCTACCTCTTACCTTTGAACCCTTTCTCTGAAGCTGTTAGCAACAGGTGACGCTAATTTCAAAGCTTTAATCTGATTGGCTGATAACAGCTCAACGTAAATTAAGGCAGATTCGGAATAAGTAACACCAACAATATATTAGATACATTATTCAGTATTGTAACATTCAAATTAATAACATTTTAGGTTAGAAATGTTCCAGCTGAAATAACTTTATAATTTTTTTTATGTTTTGCATTTTAATGAGATATATGGTAATATCTACGTACTATTCTCTTTTCTTGATGCTATCAGTGCTGTGAAATGCACATTCTCCATACGTTTTGAGGTATTTTGCTCGCAACGAAGTAGGCCTATACTGTAGTGTTCAATGACATTCTTTTTTCTTTTTTTAAGTAGCAACTGCTCTTATCCTCATATTTTAGTTTATTATACCACAGATCATGACTACAAACATTAGGTCTTTATTGCTCTTGGAAGCTGAAATCCAGTTGTTGTATTTTGATTTTGGAGTAATGGCTTCTTCCTCTCTGAGTGGCCTTACAGAGTCTCTATAGCTTAACCCACATTCTGTATATATTTTGCTATTGTTCTGGGTTTGATTCACACATTTTGCACAGAGACAATAACTGGAAATGTTAATGTATAGGATCACCTTAAACAGGGAGATTTCCTGCAGGTTTAGACATTTCCTATCTTTGACAAACTTGATTCGAATTATTTCAGCTCAGAATAATCCTGTTGATCAGCCACCAGGTAAGCTGAAGCAGGGACACATCTTTAAAATGTATGTCACTGCAGGCCATTAAGGGCTTGAGATGTACACACCTGCATAGGGGCGAGTGGAATCCTGAGGTTGTGACTTAGAAACCCACTCCCACAGACTGCCACTCTGGCTCTCTGAGCAAAGACCCTTAACCCCTGATTTCTCCCTTGGCGCCGCACAATGGCAGCCAACTGCTCCCTATAGAGATGGGTTAAATGCAGAAGGAAATTTCTCCAATGTGAAATCAAATAAAGTTCAATTAAAGACATCTTTAAATAAACCAAACATTTTGACTTTGTGTTGACTCTTCTTTCTTTTATGTGACTCTTCTTTTCTTTTATTCAATGTGACTTAAAACCTAAATGATTTTTATCTGATTTAGGCTACTATCAGAAAATATCTGTTTTTAGTCAAAGTGTAAACATCTGGTGTAAGGTTTTTACTTTTGAACTTAGATTAAAGGAATTCATAGATTTTATCTTTTTTGTTATATTAAAAATTGATTGATAAGCCCAACTGTAATATATGGACTTTATTTTAAATGTAATCTAAACATGGTACCTCCAACACCACCCCTCTGCTGCTTTTTTTTGCCCATCTCTCCACGTGGTACAGGAGTAAAGGCAGGGGGTGAAAGAGGGGCATTGTGCTGTGCAGCAGTGGATCCGGGGGTTCACAGTGAGAGAGGGGAGATGCTCACTCAACTGTGTCCAGCTCGCCATTGTGGATGATTCCCCATCTATTCTTTTCCTTTTAAATAGAGCTCCAGTGTAAGATGCCGGGCTTTTTTTTTGTTAGAGTGGTGGTTGGGAGGGGGGAGTTGCATTATGCGCTTGGCGATAACACACGAATTACATGCGTGGATGTGGAATGGCCCCCCCTTTACGCACGGCGCTGCTGTTGATAATTGGCCCTATAGAAATCAAAGGTTAGAAATATTGCCATGGGCACAATAATAACACTGCAAAGTCAGATTTATATAGAGATACCAACGCCACCTGTCATGCAAATAATAGGATTTCCTTTCTTTTCTGAAGGGCTGAAGCAGAAGTCACCTGTTAGATTGCTTTTTGACTCTCCTTTGTAGTTTGATCAATTATAAGTTAATTAAATGAAGATCATCGAAGTGTTTTTTCCTTTAACAAAATCCTACTTATGTCATCTTAGATTTGTTGGGCGTCCAGCATCCTTTATACCTATTGTCATGTTTTATTTAAAGTTTGAAGTTAGAGTGAGTTTAAAGAAGAAGAAGAAAAAAATAAAAATGGGAGGGAAGGAAAAGGAGACCCAGGGAGGTTGTGTGTTACACGCTATTGAAATGCAAATATCATAGAACAAGGAGTGGTTCAGTGTGTGTGTGTGTATGCATGCAGTGGAGCTGCAGTAGGAGAGGAGGGGCACAAATTGGACAAGTTTTTTTTTTAAGCTGGGGGGGAGAAGAGACTTTAGAAAACAGCCACACACACTGCAGCTCCATATGACACGGTGCGGCCAGGAGGGATTTCCATACAGCCGCTCTTTTATTTGTTTTTTTTTTTTTTTTTGCTTACTTCCATGAAATCCCGCGCTGCAGACATTTTCCAATTGTCTAATTTAAAGGTTTCCTTGAGAACCTGCGAGCAGTGCGCTCCTTTGAGAGACTGAATGCGCACAGGAGCTGGTTCAAGTGCGCAAAAAACGTGTCTGGTGCCTTTGGAGCGACTAATGCCCCCCTCTCTGTCTGACTTGCCGTGAATCATGTCACGCCGGAAACAGAAGAGACCCCAGCAACTCGTCAATGCAGACCCGGGGGGCCCGAAGCTGCTGCAAGGTGAGAAATCATTGTCTTTTCCGTTTAACTTGTGTTTTATCTAAGAGGAAAAACAGCTTAGAGAGTAACTCTCTTTCAAAGTTAGAAAGTGATATATATCAGCAAAATCTAAAGTATTAATGGAAATATGGTAAATTACAAAGAATGGATCTGAGTTAATGGGCCAAGAAAAGTTTACAGGTTTGGATTAGTTTGTGCAATTTAAGCAGATCTAATCATTTATATCCAAATTAAAAAAAGGGCGGAGGCACTTTGGTGGATGCCTTTAAAATGTCCTCTTGTAAAGAGAAAAGATCTGGATTAACCAGCATATGTCTGTGGTCATTTTCATGAGCTGCCCATCCTTAAGGAAACCAACAGGCTGCTTAAGGGTGACTGCTAGAGCTCTGGGATTACTATAGAGCACTCACAATAATCTGCATGGTCAGGGGGGAGGGAAGGCAGTGTTTTCTTTTTTTATTTTATTAATTATTTTGTAGTAAAGATTAATCTTCCACTCTTGTATGGATCTTCATCTTTTGCAGTTCATCCATACTTTTTTTTTTACCTTATGAGTCCCTCTTTCCCCATTTTCCACCATGACAATGCCTCCTCCCTCCCCTTTTCTTTCTCCGCTCTATTGACTGTATACTTCTTCACAGCTTGGGGGCTTTCAGATGGATGAGAGAAGGTTTCACAGATTATTACAGAGCTAAACTTGGATATTTGTGCATGCACAATGCTCTGCAGGTACGATTCTCCAAGTCAGGAGTATATGTTCAGATTTATAGTTTGTTATATGTTTCCTGCAGGTGCAGGTTTGTTTCTTAATAACAGAGAGGGAATTTCTCTGAGGTACAGTCTTTCATTCCATCACTATACCTCTCCAGGAGGGAGTAGTTAGTTTGTCTCTCCTTTGTTGTTACCCTCCCCCTTCTTTTTTTCTTTTTACTCTTTCTCACTCTGTGCTCAAGATTCTGAAAGAATTTGACCCCTGGGCGGCAGAGGTTAGATTAGTTGACCAATCAGAGCATGTGGACAGTACCCAGAACCCTTAGCATGGCCTGACCCTTAACCTCCACCGTGACGTAAGGGGGGAGGGTGAATGGGGAGATGAAAGACGTAACTGCGGCCGTGAGGGGGGCTGGGTTAAGAGGGGTTACGGGTTGTCTAGGTGATGTCCATTGTCCTTTAAAATGTGCTGCCATAGCAACAAGGTGGTCTGTGAGCTTTTTTGTGTGCGCAAGATGTTTGAAGAGTTTTGCTTCAGAGAGCACAGATTGAGACAAGACATTTCAAAGACTGGTGCACTCTGAGTTTCTTCCACTTGTTTATTTGCTTGTAGGAGGTCATTTCCAGGCGGGCCTTTTCTTTTGAAGCTGTAACTGTATCTTCTGGTATGCAGACAAGTTTGCAAACTAAAATTGGTAAACAATAACTAAAGTCAGTGAGATAAACAATCTTTGAAAGTAACATGACATGTGGGTTGATACTGGGAACAGAGTTTTACTAAACTGTTATTTGTAAAGACATACATTTTTTTCTTCTTTTATTAAATATTATTTTTTCTCTATCAATCCTCAGACGACCATCTAAGCTTGAAGTCACCATCCACATCTTTGGGATCAGATCTAACATCATCAGGTTCCTCCTCCTCATCTCCCACCTCACTGCAAGATTGCCAGCCGCCACTGGCCACTCGCCCGTCTCCTGGAGGGCTCCACGCGCCTTCTTTGCCCAGCGAGAGCTCACCTCCTCCCCACTGGCCCAGCCACATTGCTCCTTTTACCACATCTCTGCCAAACACCCACTCCTCCCTCTCGCCAGACTTCCCTCACCCCTCGTTGTCTTCCCAAACTCACTTGCCTCCTCCTCTAGATCAGTCCTCTGGAAGCCACGGCCTGAACCACCAAGTTAACTCACACGCCACTATGACCTCTCCCCCGATGGGCAGCTCTGCCACCACCACTACCTCTTCCTCATCCTCTTCTTCATCATCCTCTCAGCAACCTCAACCAGACAGCTCCAGTCCTGGCCAGCAGCAGTCTTCCATCTCCACAGGGGAGCAGGGACAGATCCAGGTGCCACCAACCCTGGCGGTACTCTTAGAGGAACTAAGGGTCCTGCAGCAGAGGCAAATACACCAGATGCAGATAACAGAAGAGATCTGTCGTCACGTCCTCAGGCTTGGAGGAGCTGTCTTTGGCCAAGATAACAACGCACAAGCTAACGGTGTAGACAGCAACCAGAAGTCCATGGGAACAACATCTTCATCACCTACACATCCTTCGACCAATACTCCAGTAACCACAGCTTCATCCCTCTTGACTGGACTTCCTTCCCCCCTTTTCCCTCAACCAGTCATCTCAAAATCAGGTACTTCACTCATAAATGGAGACAGACCCCAATCCTCCTCAACTTCCAGTTCTCTATCCTCACCCTCTTCCTTAGCAATATCTTCCAGCATCAATTCATCTG